AATTAAATACCTGCAATAATAAACAGTTCATCCAATCCTTGAAAAGTCCGATAAAATTCCTAAAACACGAATCCATTATTATCCGTTATTCTTTTTTTACATTTTATTATAATAAACTCTGAAAGAGATAATTAATTATCATACCTGATCGTATAGAGTGCTGAAGTTGCAGGCAATACGATATCTATGTTGAATTAAAGTTAAAATTCTGATTATTATATTAAATTAGTAAAATAATAAAACATAAACCTTCTGCTTACTTTTAAAACTCTGTTTATAACCCATAAACATCAAAGAACTGCTATTAACAATATTATATATTTATATAATTAATTAAAAAAAATTCTTAAAAATATTAATTATTTATAAAAGTAAATCAGAAGAGAATTTATAATAAATAAGTAGGCAAATTTGCCTGCAAAATCCTACAATCTAAGGGATAATATTTATATAAATTATAACTAAATTTTATTATTTTTATTTTATAAGTCAAATTATAATTTTGCTTTAGCTTCAGAATAAAGGGTTATAATATTAAAATCAAACCATTTACTGTTTTTATTTATTTCAGCTATTTAATTTTTATTAGTCTTAACTTAATGTTTAATTATAAGATTGAAATATCTTATTACCTCTTTCTTTTATATAGGTAATACACTTTTTTTATATAATAGTATATGAATTACAGTTACATTTACTATCTTTTTATACTTAACAATTTGTGACATAAACAACAAATAAGTTAAAAAAATAGGTTTTATGTAATTTGTATTATAAAAATAGAATACAGTCACATCTCAAAATAATGAAGTTGACGTTCAGGCTAATCAGCCTTTCATTATAAGAAAATTTGTTATTACTATAATAAATTATTTGGTATAGTACAACGAATTATTTGGTATAATAAATAATTACTGAAAAAGGAAAATACAAATATAATTTTACTATAATATAATTAAAGTTAATTTTATGATATATTTTATAGAATAACCTCTTTATAGTTAAAGCTAAAGTGATCTTGAAGCAATTTTGGTAATGTAAAATTGGAATTAATTTTAAATAAAACAATTTATAATAATAAATATAAATTTATTTTTAAAAGTTTTAAGATTTCTTCACTAAACAAAAAGAAAATTTATTAATGATAGTTCAAAATATAATTAAAAAATATTATTTATTTATATGAAAAATAAATAAAAAATTAAAATTAAAAAAAAATAAAAAATAAAATACCACAAAATGAAAACTCCACCCTAGTAAAAAAAAAATTAAAAAAAATTAAAACCTCGATAAAAAATAAAAAAATTAAAAAAAATAATTAAAACTTCTACTTCCTATCTCCCAACTACTGGCTCGCTATCAGCATATTACAGGCTTTTCTTCAATAATGCCTTGTAATAAAAAATGTAAAAAATACTTAATATAAATTTAAAAATTCCTAAAATTTTTATTAAGAACTATCAATTAAACATAATAATTACCTGACTTATCCCAAAACCTAGTTCAGAATAGATTATAAAATTGTTCTATTATACAAATACTTTTCACCTCTTTTCATACTATTACGCCAATAAAAGTCATAAAGGATACATATTAATTACTTATTAAGTTATATTTATCAATATATTATTATTTATTTATTTATTTATCCCATAATTCTTCACCAGATTTCTTCATTTCTGATCGCATTGGTGAGAAGAATAATTGCTATTATATCATTGATTTATTTTTCTCACAACGCTCTACCAAAATCTCAATTTATTTTCACAAAAAATAATGATATTTATGGTTGCGTCTCCTCCTTTCTTCAACCAAGTAATTGGTCTTTACATCATATCATATAATTCTTGGTATAGCCATTTTTTTATTGTGTTTGTAAAAATTAAAAAATTGATAGAATTGAGAGTATTCAAAAGTGAAAATTAAATGATGGTAAAATACTTCTTTTTAAAAATAAATTTCTTTATTATTAAATCAAAATTCTGATTTGATATCTTGTGAAAAATTTCTTTATTATTGAATTGAAATTCTGATTTGATATCTTATGAAAACTTGAATAATATAATAAACTCACAATCAAAATGCTCAAACTCTTTGTGTTCAAAATTCTGATTCAAATTTCAAAAGCAATTCAACTATCATATTATTTATAAAATTAGATCAACACAAATATAAAAATTTTTTAATATGATAGATCATACAATTAGAGACAATAATAATTCATCACCTGGTGATAAATATAAATTATTATAAAAAAATGATGTCACAATTTGGTAAAAAAAAATAGGAAATTTCAACATAAGTTCAACAAAAATTCATTACAAATTAGTTAAAAATTATAAAAAATAATATGTATTTTTCAATACAATTTCAACACAATTTCAATACTATTACAGGAGTTATTATTTAGCCAATACATTATTAAATTTATGTTCCTATGATATTATTTTATTATATTATTACATTTATTATGTAAAAAAAAATTACTTCCAAATTATTAATGTTTTTGTATTAAAAAAACAATTATTATTAATATTATTATTAAAATAAAAAAAATGGCACAAATTATTATTAACGTTGTTATGTTAAAAAAAATTACTATTATTATTTAATTATAATAATAAACTTATTGAGATTGATTTGTCTCGCCAAAATAAACTGGTATTTCAAAGCTTCTTTTTTAAGCTTTTTAATAAACTTTAATTAATTCTTCATTATTCACATTGAAAACTTCTTCCTATTGTTTCAAATATAAAATTACTTTATCATAAGCTTCAATAGCTTCATTATAAGTAATTATCGGTAAAGGATTCTCTTCTCCTTCATTTTCTTATTCTTGTTCATTAGATAAAACTACTTTTACAATTTTTTCATCAGATATCATTTTTCCTGTGATCTCAGGCTTATCAAATTGAACAAATTTTTCAGCAGTTAAAGGATTGTCAAAAACAAGTTTATCAATTAAAACTTGAACTTCTTTAATTCTATTAGACGTTTAAGTTCAAATTGTATATTGGTAGAGGTTTTATCTTCAATATTATCATTGTCATATTTAGGCAGAATATCTACTTTCAACTAACAATTTTGAATTATCTCTTGTATTATATTATTCTATGCTCAGGAAACATATTTTACATACTTTTTAATATTAATTTCTACAGGTTTAATATGATAATCATTGAAATGGTCAAAAGATTTGACCTGATTTTGTAAATAGAGCTTTCGATATTATGCTTAAAATAAGTTAAATTTGAATTAAAGTATAAATAAAGTATAAAATATAGGAATGTTTAAATCGAATTCGTTTCTTACCTTAAAACTATTAATGATATCTTGATCACAAGGTTAAAGATATGCTGTAGTATTTGAGAAAAGGTATTTGATAGTAATATTTATTAATTAGATAGTTTCGTATAGAGCATATATTAAGGCATTATTAATAAAAAAAGAATATTTCAATTTTGCTTTATTATTCGATTATTAAGTTTCTTAATATATTTATTTTAAATTGATACTTGCATTCAACTTTTTTTATTTCAATAATATTCAACTAGAAGGGTCTTCTTATCAATATTTTTCAGAAACTGAGGATTTTTATACTTGTATATGAAAAAATAAGCTAACTTTTTATTTTCAGTTACATTACAGATAAGTAGGATAGTTAAATGATCCTTTGATTATTTAGTTTCAGATACTTGGCTATTATATATTGTGCAATTGGGTTTCATCTTCCAAAATTCATCACAATTAAAGATGTCATTAGGGTCATAATTTTTAAAAACACTATGAATTTCATCATATGTGCAGATCTAAACTCTAACCCTAATTTTTGAGACTTAACCCAAAGTGACGGTCATTAAATCACATGATAACACTACTTTAACCAACCATTTTGATTGGTGATTATCTCAATCAACAAAATTAAGTTTCAATTTTTTTTATATACAACTAGAGCGGTGCTTAAGCATCACGTTCTTTTTTTTGTATTATATACGGGCTGCACTTATGCTACGTGATTTTTTTTAACTTTATTTTGCTATTATTTGATCATTGAGATGATTATAAAAATAAATATATTTATTATTTTTTTTTGAATGTTAGAAGTTAATCAAATCTTTTTATTTTTAATGTATTATAAGAAGGATTTTCACTAAATGAAACATCTTAATACAAAAATAGGAACCTATTTCGGTATTGAATCACTCTTCAGAAAAAGGCAGTTATTCTAACGTCCATGCCTTCGTTATTTTTCTTTTAATGATACTGATTACTTTTTTATTACATAATTAAGGTAATCCTTCACTAATCGAATGTATTATGCAAATCAGAGTTAATTTTACAGGCATAATGAATTTTTTTTGAGTTTTTTTTTTAAAAAATAATTAGGAAAAAAAAGAATTCTTTTATTTTTTTTATTTTCATTTAAATAAATAAATAATTAAATAAAAAAAAAGGAATGGGAAATTTCTTTAGCATTCTAGTGAAATCATTAGTATTCATGTCTTTTTTTTTGAATTTTATTTTTTTTGAATACATTTTCTAAATTAGTTATAGCATTTTAATGACGTTCTTGAATAGACTTAGTTCAATTTATTTAATTTTTTTTTCTCATGATTAATTATCATGCTTAAAAAGGAAGTTTGTTTACATAAGTAAAAAAAGTATATATTAACCCGCTGTTTGTTGTAGGCTTAAAGTATATGCCTAAAGCTTAAAGCTTAAAAATCAATATATGATATATTATTTTCATACAAGTACAAGGGAGTACGTATATATAAAGTATATAAGCCTTAAGCTGTAAAAAAGGCAAAAAGGTTAAGCTATATCCAGATATTGAGACTAGCCGAATGTTGAATTTCTTGGTAAGTACTATATCTTCAAAAATTGCAGATTGCATTCATTTTAGGCAAAGCATCAAGGTACAAGCTTTTCAGTTTTCTTTTCTTTAGGTGAATTAATTACCGTAAGAAAAAATGGTATTGCGTCAAATTTACTCGAAAATGGCTGGTGTCAAAGAAATTCACAACTATCCTTTTGACCCAATTATTAAGTTTAAACAACCAAGATGTAGTTTCTCATATAAAGTTATAAAAGAAGGTGTATATCCTAATAAATCATCATTAGCATATACTCTTCCTCCTAATAAATATCAAATTTCTAATAATTATATAATGGAAACAACCTGGGAAAAAAGCAAAAATCAGTGTACCATTTAATGTCTTATTAATTATATTGATGATAAACCAGTTTTTCAAATCTGGTTTGGAAAATATTTCGAATATAAAGTTTCTTCATCCAAGTCAACTACAGATGCAGCAAATTTATTTCATAAGGTTTATATATTAAATTATTTTAGATATTTATTGATTTTTTTTTTTTACTTTTTATACAAACTAATTTAAGACTTTTTATCCTTCAGGAATACATCTCTCAAAAGGAACCAAAACATCAAGCATTTATTTATTTGGCCTTCATCTTAAAATATTGGATAAGGCAAAAGATAGAAAATGATGTATACATATATTAAAGCCAGTTAATCAATGCGGCAATTCTATTCTTACAAAATAAGCTACAAATGTTGGAACACATATATTAGTTGAATTTAATAAGAAAGCACTGAAACTTTACAATTCAGTAGATGTGCTAGTATTGGAAAGTATATGTTATTCTGTTAAAAAACATACCATTGATATTAATTATAAAGATGAAGATAAAGTTAAAAAGAAATAAAAAAATGAATCAATTGTTAAAGCATTAGATGAAGGAAACATTTTAAGAGATCCTTATCGACGTTTATGTGCTATAGAGCCTCACTTACCTCGTGAAGGAGCAGTATCAAAAGAACGTCAGAAAATAAATGAAGAAATGGCTCGGCTTATACCAATATCAATAATAGATGTAAATACTGAAAATCAAGTAGATCAATCTGAAGAAGCAGATATAGAAGATGAAGCCATAGTGCAAGGAGTGATTGATGCAGTTGGTAAAGGTGGTTACAGGAATATTAAAGACATTTTGCAATATTTAATTCCTGACCTTGTTTATAAAAGAATTTTGAATCCATATAATCCAACTATTCATCTTCAGATCTCTGAAGATGGAAGAAATGTTGGTAGAAAAATAAAGCACGTAATGATTACAATAGCTATCTTGGATGATAAAAGTACTTTATACCAACCAAATCATCATTATACAACTGTGCTTTATCCTGGATATGAAGATTATAATTCTTTATCAAATGTGATGACTCCATTTTGTAATGATTTAAGAAGTTTAAAAAGTCAAGAATTAGTTATTAACAATATAAAGTAGAATTTCCAGCTGTATTTTTCATCTGATTGGAAATTCTTAGCAATTTGCTTGGGTTTTAATAGCGCTCACAGTAAAAATTTCTGTCCTTGGTGTATAATTAACAAATCACAACAAGGAGATCTATCAAAGGATTGGATAATTAGTAAAGTAATAAATAAATTAGTTGAGCAAAATAATTACTATGAAGCACATTCAAAAAACCACTTTTTGATAAGATACCTCTTAATAATTGGATTTCCGATGAACTACATGTGGTGTTGAAAAAAAATCATGAACAAGTTTCTTATTTTTTTTGTAAGACAATAAAAAATAGCGGGAAAAAGAAATTTTAATCATCAGCAATTATTGAAATTCTACAACATGAAAATCGCACCCTCTTTTATAATCACAATAATACTCCTTTAAATTACCAAAATTCAAAAAAAAATCGCATTAAAACTTAAAGAAATGTAATTTCTTTTATGTATAAATAAGATTGTACATCATACAAAATTCATCAATAAAAATATAATTTTATTGTAATAAGCTCTTAGTTTGATAACATATTTGTGGTATTTTTTCATATACTAACTAAATTTTTTTAACAGATTCTTATCATTACGTGGTGTTTTATTTTCTTTTTCTTTGAATCGGTGAAGAAAGAGGTGGCAATAAACTAAATAAATTAAATTACTGATTAATATGATTAATATAAAACTTAAGTAAAATAATATTTTTATAGCCTTACCGGCTAATATTCTTATTTTCTTACTTTTAAATAATTCTTACCAATACAGCAGTTGTATCTTAACTTATCTAATCCTTACTTAATATATATTTTTAAAAAATTTGAAAAGGAACTATTAATTTGTTTAAAAAGAGAATTTGAATTGATATTTTAATTCAAACATTTATTTTCACTAAATTATAGCCTGACTGTTAAAGAAATGAAAATAAATATGACCTGCTCATGTGAAATTACCATTGAAATCAATATTTTTTTGTTGCTTCCATTCTACTACAAGTTGCCTACGTTTGTATCTTGGTTTGCGCTGTTTAGAAGCCTGTATAATAGGATTTTCTTCATCAGCTTCAATATTATTATTACCATCACAAAGCACAATATAAGTGTGTTGTTGTTGATCGTAAAATTTAACCCCCTATTCTTGCATTTTTAGAATATTTGCCAATACTTGATTTACTGAAGCCCCACGAAATATACACTTGTAAATACTCTTTCTAGCTGAATAATAATGTATATAATTTTTAAATACTGCGTAAAATTGACTTTCTATAGCAGGAACAGAGACTGTTTGTTTTCCTAGTTGTTTGTGTCCTCTTAGTAATCACTTATGAATATAATGAACTAAAATATCTTTAAATTGGCGTATAGTACTTTCAGGCAAAATGTCAATATTAGGATGTAAAATATTGTATTTTGTAATAATATTAAGATGTCTTGTTAATCCTCCCTTTTTTTCTAAACAGTTTCCCACATATATTACATTCAAATCTAGTCATTAGAGTTACCGAAGGTGTGAGAATACTGTTATATTGAATCATATTACCTAAATACAAAAACAAGACATATAATTAATCATAAATTTCAGTAAAATTAAACTAAGTACATTCAATACATGTACTTTTAGAAGAGATGGGTTTAATAGTGAGGAGATGGATTCACGTGACAATTGTTAATAGTTTTTTATTTTAGGGCTCTTTTTAGTACGTGAGTCAGATGATTAATATATGAAATTAGTGTAATAGTTACAACGATCACATGCATTTAATAGTAATTTAGGGTCTTTAATTTCGGTCCAAATCCAATAATTAGCTGATATGTTATACATTGCATCGAGATCATCAAGTGACGCACTTGCAGTTTCATTATGTATATTATATTGCCATAAGTTATGTGGTTTCTTGAAATTGTCTACTTATTGGAACCTTTAAATTTATCCTTATCAAACAAATAAGCAAACTCTAAAATCTTTGTAAAAGAATACTATCAGTTATAACAAGACCAGCTTGGAACACATTTTTTACCTAAAGAGTTAAAGCTTTCTCAATAAAAGAAAAGGTTTTCTTTTTTTTACATTTTAACTTAGCTTTATATAATTCAAGGTCTATAGCAAGCCAACGGTTCTTTTCTTTTAAAATGTCATTAACCATATCCTTATTAACTTCATATTCATTTGCTAGATTTTTTTGTTTTAGTAATAGGAATAAAGTTTTTTTTAAACAAATCTTTTTTTGTGTAGCAATAAGAGACCTTTGTTTTTTTTTAAAGGTTTATTACTAGATTTCTTTGAACTTACATTTGGTATTCTTATGTTAAAGAAATATGAAAAAATTGCGAAACATGTGAAACAAAAAAATATTTATAAAAAAATTGCAAAATATTACATGAAATACTTTCGTTAACTTTATTAAGATATAAAAAATTACAAAATTTCATAATTTTTCTATTAAAATTAATTTTTGTAAATTTTCGTATATTAAAAAAAACTTTGTTATAAATAAATATATTATACAAATGGGCATTTATATAATGCATGTTTACATACTTAAATTTGTTGACATAATATGAATTTTAGTTTAATAAATTTGTTATATATATTTAAAAATCTGTACTATACTATAGATCCATTATATCATAAAATTCGTTTATCAAAATTTGTTATAGAAAGAGTTGGCTGTACTTTTATTCAAATTAATATTATACAAGTAAATCACAAATATTAGTAGGATAACTTTATTTTATATTTAAGCAAATTGTTAAAAATTCAGTATTGCTTATCATATTTTTAAAGAAATTAATATAAAACCTTTGCATAAAAAAGAAAAAAAACTATTAGAAAAAAACCAATTTTATTTTTATGTCAAATATAATTTTCAAGTTAAAATATAAAATGTTTATAATAGAAAGGGAATCTGCTGAGAAAAATTAATTTTACTTTTATATGCTAAATATGATTTTTAGCCTAAAATATGTTCAAATTTAGCATTAACTTATTTTTGATTTTTCTGCCAGTTTTTTTCCTTTCTATTGCAAAGGCCTCCCTATATTTAAATTTAACATTAACTTATTTTTTATTTTTTTTTAGCAGTCTTTATTCTTATTTTTGCAAAGATCTTATATGTTTTTTTTTGGATTTCTTATATAATAATATAATAATTTTTATATATTTTCTCATTAGCTAATTCTCTTAATATTTGTTTTTTACTTTATTAAATTTATTTGGTTTATATAATTACAGGTAATCTTTCTTTAAATACTTCTAGTTTTAATAAATAATATAAATAATATAATTTAAATAATTTAAATGATAAAAATTATAAAAATCATCTGAAATTAAGCTTTCCTATAGCAAAAAATAAATGCTTATTTTCAGAACTATATGGTAATAAACCAATAAATGATTTATAATAAGATAATTAAAAATGTATATGAGCAGACTAACAATTGATTATAACAAGATAATAAAAAGGAGGCAAAAGTGATTCTTAATTAGTTAATATCTTAGTATTTAAAAAGATATATAATAATATAAACATATGAATATTTACTTAATTGTGAAAAAGATACAAAATAGTAAAAAAAAGTAAAGATATTACCTTAATAAAAAAAGAATGTAAATCATTAAAACTAATAATTTACTCATAATTAAACAACAATTTAATGTAATTAGGTAAAAAAAAATATAAAGTTATAAAATATATTGAAATATATATATTATAAATTATTTAAACAAATATTAAATTTATATTTTAAAGCAATTAAATAAACTGAAATTATTTTATATATATATTTTCTCTCTTTTATTTTTCTTAAATGAGTTTTATATAAAAAAACTGTTAAGTAAAATTAATTAAATATTATATAATTATTAAAAAATGAATTATATATTAAAAAAAAAAAATAATAAAGAAAAGAAGATTAAAGAAATAGTAATATCTTTAATAAAATTTATTGCAATCAAAGAGAAAAGTTGTAAAAGAAAAAAATTTTAAACAGACCAAATAAAAAAGTTTTTCTTTAATAATTTTATTAAATGAAATACATAGTTGAAGGAAACATATGATAATATTTTAACCAATCAAATCCGAGCAACATAACAAATCGTATATAAATCTTAATAAGGAAAAAAAAGAACAAATGTGTAGAAATTTGATTGCGACCAACGAAAAAATATTTTCTCAGTAAATCTTCCATTGGATTATTCTATTATAACGAAAAAATAATGTCGATTAAAATTCACATGTAAAATATGCAAATGTAACCAGGGGGGCTTAGCGCTCAGCCCATTTGTACATCAGTAAACATTAAGAGTTTTTTTTTAAAAAAAAGAAGATTCTACAAATTAAATAAAATCCCTCCTTTTCATTCAACATCATCTTTACTCAAATCATCTCTCCGGTTTTAATTCATACTGTTGAAGAATATTCATTATATAAGAGATACTAGTTTCTTAAATTCAAAAATGTAATATTATAATCGGACTAAAAGATTCGTTAAAGAGAATCCTGGCACATCAATCTCGTCGCTGTTCTTGTAATAACGTTCGTTTATCAACGGGAAAAGATATTTAAAAGAATGAAAATTATTGCATTAGCCATTACATTCAGTGAGCGTCAGATTGCAATATATTACACTAGAGAAAATAATCTGATTTTAAAAATAGATGATAATAATGGAGGTGGTTGGTTTAGTTGGGTTGAAAAGATGAAATGTTGGTAGTATTTTATCGAATTTGTACATCTTGCGTAAAGTTTAGTGAAATAAACATAATTTCTCATTGAAAGTAAATGTATGTTAGTTACATTAACGTTTTAAGAGAATAATTCTCGGATCATATAATTTTCGATAGAAAAATTTGTTTCTTTTTGAATTAAGAATTTTGTTACTACAAACCAATAGTCATTATTTACAAAATTCTTTTTATCTTCATAGAATCATATAATAAGAATTCCGGGGTAAATTAAAAATCATTTTTTTTTTTGCGAGCAAATTTGGTGGAACAAATTTCTCATCTTACCTTTTTTAAAAGAGGAGGAGATGGATTTAAGAATAATAATGTAGTTCTCGATCAAATTTTTTAATTAGTTCAGCCATCAAATAGACGACCCCACAAAAAAAAACCAAGATGGATAAAGGAGAAAAAAGAAATATTTTTAGTAATTAAGTAGAGGATTCGAATTTTTTTTTTTAGTAATAATAAACAAACATTAGATTTCTGGTTAGATTAAGGATTATAATTAAAACCATGCGATTCTCTTTAGAGTCGAATTCCCTTTTTAGTACAAATTCAGAAAAAATAAATTGAAAATTCTTTCTATAAAATCTAAATTAGATTTTCCCCGAGTCGTGTGGTCATACACATTTTGCACATGAATTCGAAAAAGAAAAAGAATTCAGGTTCCAAAGCTAGAATAAATTTCGATTGAATTTAAAACATGATGTCCACTAAAATAATTTCCGATCACTGCAATAAATATCTTTTTCGTGAGAATTTGACCACAGACCTACATTATTTATACGAGATATTCCGAATAAAATTCACATCCGAAAACAAAGATATACAAAGTAGCGAAAAAAATCTTTTCCGTTGTTTAATAAATGTTAAACTTTGAAATTCCTCGACCGATCGATCTTTTTTTTTCCATTGCTTACGAAATCAATCAGTAATAAATTTGGTAAGCATTTGTTTGGATTGAACAAAATCTTCGAAAAAGGATAGCTTAATTTAGAATCCTGCATATTTTATTTTTATTTTATCGCAGATAAGGAATAAATACCTTAATTGTTTTAAATTTTTTTATTTTTAAATGTTCAATAAAATCCGTTCATTGTACAATTCTCTTCAATTAACTCATTTTTTTATTTCGAGAATATTCTCTATTATTATCTAATATAAATATATAAATAAATATTAATGTTATTTATAGAGTAAATGAATCCATCGGAATTTACCCATATGTCGCACCCGTGTACTTTCCATATTTACCATTTTCCGGAAATTTTCAAATAAGGTTAGAATGTACATCAGAAGGATCGTGAAATTATCCTATATTTGGTTTCTTTTATTATAAAGAAAAAAACAAGATGATTCCAGATCGTTTTTGCGTTACAATTCCACTCGTCGTTCCATCTAATTTTTTTTGTGATATTGCTTGGAATATGCAATCCTAAGCAAATCGTAACACCATAAACAATAACACTAGTTTTCAATATGTGACACCGTACAACAGATAAAATTTTCTTAACGTAGTAATACATTGTGTATTTAGCATGCAATCCGGAAAAACACAAAACTCTCAACAAATAGATTTAAGATAATAAATTCAGACATCACATTTTTTTACAATCAGGCTCCTAATTTGCAAATTATTTCAACAAGTGATTAGTTTTGTTTTACATATATAATTAGGAGAACAACGACATTCACATTATGAATGAATCTAAATCAATGAACCAAGATACTGGCAGCCGCAAATGAATACATCGTGCATAGTTTAAAGTATGTTGTCAAATCAGATGGTGTGTAAGAATTTATGTAGCTATAAAAAAAAAAATTTCCAAACGTTGAACTCCCAAAGGTTTTTACGGATAGTCAAATACATATATTGTGAAACGAATAAATGCTAGAAACATCTGGCAATTTATGAATCCTTTGTACAGGCTGAAGCATTTGTTTTGTAATAAATAATTACAATGACATTTAATTAGTTAATTAGTTTAATAACTCGATCAGAAACAAGAATTATAACGGAAAAACCCACAAATTAAAGTAAGTTCCGGTTTTTAAAAATTAACAAAGAATATAAGTTTCAGTAGAATTGAAACTAGTATAACTCAACCTTTTTAACATGATCCCCTCCCCCCCAAGGAATTCACCACGATGTTGATAAGTGATAAAAATCGGCAGATCATCTTAATTGATGAACTTTTGTACTAGTGTCTCTTTTTTTGACATTTTATTCTATTGGCCAATAGAATCATAAAGTTCTGCCAATTATGGGAAATTGTTCCTTTCTGAATTCGGAAAGTAAGGAATATAAAAGAATACACTTGAGATCAAGTTGTGTAATTTCATGTCTATCACAGATTTCTTTGTCTTTTTAGTAACGGAATAATTTGAATTACATGTGTAACATACGTCATTTTTAAATGCTTACGATATGAAATGACCAAAGATGTTAATATTTGAAAAATCTAAACCAAAGTATCATGTCAAATTTTCTGGGTCCTTTGACAAATTAATCTTTTAATCTTTCTTTTTAATTATTATTTATATCGTACAGGTAAATAACTGGTCTATATTCGGCAAATAGATTATGTCATCTTAATAAATATTTAGATGTTGACATAAATATTTTGATTTTAAATCGTACAGAAAGAAATTACGAGATTCTTTTTATCAACTTTTATCTTACGTTTTTTAATGGTAAAGGTAAGGGGAATTACCTTCATTATGAATTTTCCAAATATTTCACTGGTGGTGAAACTTTCTACCTGAAGAAATGAGTCACAACCTTAGATTGATATACAATATAATTTTTTTTCAAAGTTAAAAAGGGTTGGCGGCTAAAAATCGTACAACATTATCAAAATTTTATTGCGCAATGAAATAAAAATTTTCACGTTCCCTTGCTTGCAGAAATCAGGTTATAGATATTTAATCTAAACTCTATTTGTAATGCTTTCATTTTTTTCTTGGCATGTTAAGGAGCTTGAAAAAGTTTAGATATACAACCTTTCTTTGGGAAACTAGTATCACCCCACGAGGTCATCAGCATATTTGGGAAACAATTTCCCTACCTTCTATAGGTTTCTTTAATTTTCCAGAATACTTAATGGAAACTCCGCCACAACTAGGAAAAAAAAAAAATAATAAATTCCTAAATCATTAAATCTCAATCCCGATAAAACGGAACTTCCTTTAAATATAAACAAATCCATCTGTAAATTATTTATACACGGGTTTTCATTCCCCCAAAGACAATTATTGTTCACTTATTTTTCTTTTTTCTTTCAGTGTGGTTTCTCAAAACGCCCACAAAAATATCCAATTTTTATCTTACAATACGGCGATTCGTAACAGGGTATTCCGGTTATTTTAAAACAATTTTCCCTAAAATGGCATTTTTTTTTTATATGTTTATTGTTAAAAAAATTTTTTTTTATATTAGATTTACATTTACAATAAATAAATAAATAAATATATATTATTTATTGTGGTTAGGTTGATAAATATATAGTTATTTTTAAACTCTTATATATAAATGGCGAATATTCTCGATTCAACAAATTTTTTTTTTTTTGACAACCTTCAAAAAAAAAAATATTGCATGAAATTTTGTTTGCACATCAATCAACCATCCAATTTTTTTACTTATAACTTCTCAACATCCTAGAAAATTTTACTGAAATCCGGACCTATTAACGGTAAATAAATCATCATCTAATCAAACATATCCTTAATTTCTTATCTGATTTTGCAGGTTAATTATAAATAGACCTTCGTGCCAAGTTTGAGCAGTTTAGTTGATATTAACTTTTTCCTCCACTTTATTTATTTTATTATTTTTTTTTTTTTGTGTATAAAGAACACGTTAATGTATATTTCCAAATATTTCCTTTTCAGCCACTATTTAATGATTATATAGGAAACCACATTTTTTTTTTTCAGAGAAAAAAAAAAAAACACCAAAAAAAAAAAGATCGAAAAAAGAAAGTTCTAATATAAAAATTTCCTTTTGTGTCGATTATTTTACAATTCTTTATTCTATTTCCATTTCTTTCATACGTTGGTCATTCCCTAGTTGAGATATTTTTGATAAGCTTTCCTTACCATTTGGCGTCCATACTTTTTTAAAGAAAACTGTAATACGAAGAATAATAGCTCATACCCGCAATTCCGTACCTCTCTAGGCTCTTCTGCCAAGCTGGCTCTAGTTATTTCCAACAACGCTAATAAAAATATTCAAAGGTCTGCAATGGATCATAAGGGCAGTAATAATGCAAATAACATAGGCAATACCAATAACGATAACGTTGACAACTCTCAGAGAGATACGAGCAATAATGGCACCAGGGACTTTTACATGCCACAGTCTGAACCGCCTGGCACCTCGCTTCCGGGATCTTCACCAACTCCTCCTTCCTCAACCCCTTTGGTTACCTCTCCTTTTCATGAACCATCAGCTGCTCCGGCAACTGCCGCTTCTTCTCCGACCTCTTCTAACACAAATGTAAATGTATCACCCTCTACTCCGTCTACATCGGTGATGACGATGACGATGACAACAACTCAAGCTGCGACTCATAAAACGCAGGCCGCTTTTGTGAACAAACTTTATACGTAAGTACCTTTTGATACAGGTTCTTGTTTAAAAGCATGACCAAATTTCTTTAATTTTTTCTCCTCAGTCAATTCAATGAAAATTACGCGTCAAATAAATTTGGTTACTGATCAATTGAACTTATTAATTTTTTTAAAACAGAATGGTGGAAGATCAAACGATTCAGCATTTGATCTCATGGGCGCCTTCGGGTGACGTTTTCAGTGTTTCGAATCCAACAGAATTTTCAAAATCAGTCTTACCACAATATTTTAAACATAATAATTGGCAGAGTTTTGTTAGACAATTAAATAGTAAGTTAATTTTTTTGAGAAAAATTCATTAATCGTAATTCTGTCTGATAGGATTCATTATTTTTTTAATTTTAATTTATTTTAGTGTATGGATTTCATAAAGGTAGATTTTTTTGATGTGATTCCAATTTTTTAGGATCGAATCGTTTTGATTTACATTATATTTCCTTTTTCGGTAATCATGTACCTAGTAAATGACATGTTTCATGCGAACCCTTCGAGTGAAAGTCAGGCTTGGGAGTTTAAGCATCCGGATTTTCGTCGTGGACAACTTTTAGCCTTGCAAAATATTAAACGTAAAAGTTCAAAGCCTGCTAATTCCAGCAGTATAAAAGGAAATATAAGTAACTCGGGAACAGGTCAAAGTCCTTCTACTGATAATGATGCTTTGCGTGATGATAGGATTGATATTTTGACAACTCAAATGTCTGAGATGGTGGACAGGATGCGTCAAATGAGTGAAAATTATGGGTTATTATATGCTGAAACTGTTTCTTGTAGAATGTTACAGTCAAAACATCAACAGGTATTCATTCATTCATGATAATTCAAGAGATATTTTAAATTTTAATGCGACTTATTTTTTTTTTTTTAGGTAATCACTGCCATCACAAATCTTCTTGCTTCCATGTCTAGAGAAGGTTAATTTTATTAGCGTTTATTATTATCATCATCATTATTGCTTTTATATTTTGTGATATTATGCTAACTATTTAAACCAAAATAATAAATACACAGATGATGCTAACGATCCACGTAGTTTGAAACGAAAATTTGAAAGTAAATGTGATATAATTGATTCCTTTTTTTTTTTTTTAAAAAAAAAAAAAAAAAAAATTAAATAAATAAAGAAAAAAATTTTTTTTTTTGTTTTGTAAATATTAAAATAATTAATCATAATCGAAACTTTTTTAGTGGATTTGCTGCAAGCAGAAGTTGCAAAGTTGGGGCAAGCTGATGTTCCTCAACCTTCTCATTCTCCTATGATGCAACATCCTACACATTATCCTAGAGATCATCCGACAAGATCAATGTCAACCCCACAACCAATGATAGGTGTGGAGCATACATCTAATATGCATCATAGTTCACAGATGACAGAAGATTATCGTATACCATATCCTGCCAACTCAAGTCATCATCGTCAACAGTCAAAAGTTCAAACATCAAGTCCTTTAGCCATGTTACCCGAAATGCCATTTACTTTTCAACCAAGTAACAATTACTTACGGCATCGATCTCCTGAACCGATACCAGGCGGCGGGAATAGTAGATCTGCGTCAATGGATACATATAATAGATCGGTATCAATGTCTACGGCTTCACCACCACAATATTCTCATACAAATTCACATCGTCAGTCACACTCTTCACATATGTCATCGTCATTACCTTCACCCCAAAATCGAAGATCTTCGCAACCTGCTTCATCGTTAAGCTTTGGTAGTGATAGTAATTTGTTAAATCCATCTGAAAATAATAGATACAAGGACAATAATTTGCCTATAATATCGCAGTCACAGTCTCAACAACGTCCACCATCTTCCTCTTCTACCTCTCCTTCCCCTTTTAAATCAGAGAATCCGGTTGTAAATAATCCTTCAGCGGCACAAATTAGGGCTACACCGTTATCCGATCCACCAGACAACAATGAAGAGTATAAAAGACGTAAAAGGAATTAGAGAGAATATAGAAGTGATGGTGAACCTTTGACAGAAGCCCTCAGCACGTGACTTGCAAAGCAGGTAATGAAGGGGGTTTTTTGTGGAAACCTTTTATCTATAACCACCTTTTATTGATGTGGGGATTATCTTTTCTTTTTATTGCTCGTTAGAAACTTGAGAATTAAGAAATATGTTATTATGGTTATAAGGGATCATCAGAGATCAATTAATATGATTGTGTCGAAAGAAATAATTTATATTCAATTATTTTTTTGGATATTTGATAAGAGTTTGGAAAATTTGATTGATTTATGATAGTGTAAATTTATGAAAATTCATGAAGATATATTATGGATTGTTATTTTTAAAATAGCAAGTCACTCTGATGGATGTGTAATAAAATAACGGATCTAGGATCCACATCCTGAATTGTATGATATTAAACAATTTTCACTGATTTAGTTTTTTTTTTTCTTTTTTTTCTATATACAACTGGCGAAAGAAAAAAAAAAGAAATGTATTGTGTATATTATTTTTTCTTTAACAGCAAAATTTTTTTTTTTTTTTTTTTTTCAAAAAGTACACATATATATATATATATATATATTTATATATTTATTTACATGTTAAGATTTTATAAGACTAACATCTACTCCATACTTATTAACTTAGTCAAGCACTAAAAAAAAGTTCAATATATAGTAAAACAATAATTTTTTTTTCTTTTTTTTTTTTTTTTTAAAGAAATAATGAACAATCAATTTAAATATAACTTGTACTATTTATTAATCATTGTTCAAATCTCGTTATGGTGAGCTTTTATATAAATTTCGTGAAACATTTCATCAATGTAAATAAAATAATTTGGAAAAGTGGGTTCACTATAACGAGCTTTGACTGAAGTAATCATTTTTAAATATATGAAATAAAGTTTCGAGTGGTTTAATTCATATAAACATGGTCATACAGTATTGACTGTTCTAAAACCGCGATCAACTAAGGCGGAGATTACTGCGGTACACGAAATTTGGTCATTTAATACAAGAACGCACCAAATTTGGTTAAATTATATCAATCATTATCGGAAAATTTGTCACTCGAAAAGTTTAGAACCATGATTAGTACCACCGTACGTGTCATTATTTATATCAAAGGCTCTTGATTTAAGTTAGTCATTTTCAATTGTTTATTAAACGCAATTTTTTTTATCTCTTTATAGTTTATATTTGGTTAATCCGTTTTTTACTCATTATTTTAGATACTTTTTAACTCTTGTATTGGTTAGTGTGTCAAAAGTGCAACTTATGAAATAAAAAGTTTAAATTATTAATTGATTTATGTATTAATATTTTCATAAAAGAATGATCGTAAAATAAACTTTATTAGTTAATTGGCTATATTTGAATTCATTCATTTATTAATTTATTTTCTTTAAAAAGCCTCCTAATATCTGATGTACTACCCACGTGCTTAAATTTTAACTTTAACTAGTACACAACTTACATTTTAGGTAATGTAATATATAATCTTCTCTTTATTTTTATAAATTCGTCACTTTTTACTCATGCATCAAAAAATTATAATAGAGGACATATATATATATATATATATTGACTCGCGCACGCCCAAATGATAGTTTTTTTTTTACTTAATGCGGATTTCAGAGGTTACAGCAATAAAAAAAACACGTAAATGAGTTTAAAGAAGATGCGGAATTACGAACATGTAATTAAAAATATATACTTCTTCCTAAACAAATACGCAATTAATAATGGAGCGTTTCATATAACAAGTTTGATAAATTATACATCATTGTATTTCAACAATTCCTCCAAAGTACAAAAATTTACATATTCGGTCGTTTTCGGAAATTCGGTTAATTTGGTGAAACGTTTTAATGTAGTACTGTGAAAATTTTTAAACAATTGAAAAATGTGTCAATATCTTGTTACCATGTAAAAATTGAGTATACTTATAAACTACGATCAGTGTACGAAAGTGATTACAACCAATCATATTTTTATTGTACGATAATTATACAAAATCGTATGTAAGTTATCATGTGATAAGTGATTTCTTTTTTTTGTGACTCAATTGTCGGAAAATTTTCAAATGTTATGAGAGATTTATCACATGCTAAATACTACTAGTAGCGTTCACTTTTTTTTTTTTCAATGCCTGCTGAAAGTTTTGGTAGAGAACTTTCGGACTCTCTCGTGAACTCTCGTCACACATGCCACAGCGCCGTAATCGCACCTTTTTTGAAATTATTCAACTTATCTCATAGTGACTTGACTTATGGAAGAACCTCTCTTCCTTATTCCGAAACCGAAAAATTAATTCGTTCCCCACCTTATATATCCTCTGATCATATACTTCCTTTTCCTTTCAATGATGATAAGGACGGTTTTATTTATTATCAGGTCTGGTCTTTACCAACTGCAAAGGTGCAACGTAATATGGACCTTTTGTTAATTCACGGTTTGAACGATTATGGTGGACGATACTCTGAAAATTGTATTCCAATATTAGAGGCAGGTTTTCGTATCATTTCACCAGATTTGCCAGGCTTTGGTCGATCTAGTGGATTACACGCGTATGTTACTGATTGGCAAGATTTTATAAAAGCGACAAAACTTGTCGTCGATAATGTCAAGGAAATGAATGCAAAAGAGAATCTTCAAAGGAAATTGATTGTTTCTGGCGGATCCCTCGGTGGAATGATTACCATGGCATATTCTATTAAATATCCGAATACGTTTGACGCTTTTATTCTGCAATGCCCGTTAATTCATGTTGCCGATCAAAGTCGACCTAGCAATTTTGCCGAAATGATTGCTAAAGTAATCGTCAATACACCATTAGGACGTTTACCTATAGTATCCGCACATCGTGGAAAGAGTAGTTCGGATCCGAAAGTTTTAGAGGTAATTTAAATATTAAATATTTTCTTATATTATTACTTTGATTCTAATTCATCCTCCTTTAGAACTTTCTTTCGGACCCTCAAACTTATCATGGAAATTTAAGAGTATCCACAGGGTTGACCCTACTAGATGCTACAGAATGGATACAATCAAATCTTGGTCAAGTCTGCAAACCATTTTTGGTGCAACATGGTTTATGTGATCGAGTCACCTTATGTGACGGGACTAGAGATTTAATTGCTCAAGCTCAGACCCCGGAAGATCAAAAGACCATGATGTTATATGAACAATGCGAACATGATATGTGGAGAGATCCATTCGCAGGGGATAGAACCATGAATGATTTTATAAATTGGTTAATTCAAATGTACGAGAAATTAAAATGATAATCATCCTACATAAATCACGAGTTTAAAAATTTTTTTTTATTTAAAAATTATAAGGGTAATTTTTTTTTTTCAGTAATGGAAAATGGTTTTCAAAAAATATATTTTTTTGTTTTTTATTTTCAGGTTTCTTGTACGATTGTTTGATGCTAAGAAATTTTGCAGCGAGTTTCCCATGTGCATGAGTAACACATTAAAGAATTGATCTTATACTATTTAAGTAATGTTATAACTTAGTTTTTGGTATCTATCTAAAGTGTTACTACAGGACCTGTGTTTCGTGAATGTTGTACATAGCAACGCACGGTTTCTCTCAATATCACGTATTTTTTCAATCATCGTCAAATATTAAGCACATTTATTTGGTCATTCCAATTTTCTCGTTTACCCTTTCTTTTGTAACTTGCTACGGTTTTTTTTTTAATTTACACCCTTCTTTTTTTGTATATACTACTTCATTACCGAATTTGTTGAGTATCAAGTTCATTTATCACAAAAAATTACACCATGTCCGATAACGCTAGTTTGAATTATGACAATGATGACTCCGTTGACCCGTGTTGTATGGGTTGTGGTTTCTTAATCGAAGAAGGAAATGTTGTTGCCTTCGGAGAAGGCATATGGCATGTTCAATGGTAAGTTGTTCAGGCCACTTGATCCGTGTGGTTAACGACTTTACACTTTCTTAGGTTTTACAGTTATAAAATTGTGAAAAGATAGTTTATTTTAGTTCTTTCCGGCGGTTTCAATGTAATTATTACTGATTTCTATCATTTTCTTCCATATTTTTAAGTTTTCAGTGTGCCAAATGTCATAGTTTGGTTGTACACGATTCCAATGTTTTATTGTTATCCGACGGAAATCCAATATGTGAAAACTGTTCGTATAGTTGCCACGTTTGCAAAAAACCTATATTAGACGAAGCCATTATGACAGGTCAGGAATTAAAAAAATCTAGTCGTATTTTATTTTTTTTAAACTTTGAAATTGTTTCGATAATTCTACCATGTTAATTAATGATTCTGACGTCATCCAATTGAATAATATTCTTGACACCTCTTAATTAGGGGACGAGTCCTTTCACGTCGACTGCTTTTGTTGTCGACAATGTCGTAAAAAAATAGATGATTTAATATATGCTAAAACAAATCAGGTATCTTTTATATGATGAATCTTGTACGAACCTATCAGTCATTACATTTAACAAGGATGCAAGAATATTTTCTTGTTGTAGTAATATGATTATTAGATGAGATAGAATGAACTCATTGGTGAATGGGGGGAGGGGAAGAAATAAATAAATAAATCACGTGTGGTATTAAATCTGGTGGGAGAGAGAGAAGCTTCATATGTATATAAATTATTTGCATTTATTTTTAATGAATGAAATTTTTATGTAGAAAAAATTTTTTTGGGGGAGGGAAGTCATAATACTGTAAGAGAGAGAGAGAGAGAGAGAGGAAGAAAGAGAAAGAGAGAAAAAAAAGAATAAAAAGGTTCGGCAATTTTTACACGCTTGGAAACTGAAATTAATCTTTTGAAATTCTTGTTTATTAATGATTTAAGGGAATATACTGCATGACCTGTCATAACGAAAGAGTCAACAAAGCAAAGAAAGCAAAAGAGAGAGACAACTCAAATCCGCCACCTATATTAGAAAAATCTTTACCATCCTTGCCGATTGAAATTGAATCAAAGGTACAGC